ATGGCTGGTGGTGCCATGCTCGGCTCGACAGTGCTTCTCACTGCTTTTTGGGAGCCCATGAGCTCCGTGGAGGACACGGAGCGTTCTCCTGCAGCGCTCCCTCCAGCCCCAGCCGTCGCCGCCGCTTGGCACAGCCAGGCAGGCACCAACATGCTCCTGGTCTTGCTGCAATCCCACTTCAGACCAGGCTGAGTTTAAGCTCGCTTTCCCAGCCTGCTTCCAGACAGAAAAGTGGGAGAGGTCAGGCACGTCTGTCCCCGAGGCAGGAACTTTTCCACCTCGATTAAAGAATAAAATAATTTTCCTGATGTCTGGCATCAACCCTGGGCTCTGCTCCCCGCTGCCAGGCTCGGGTGGTCCCCCTCAGCCCCGTGAGGCACCGAGCCGGGGTGTCCGATGCCAGCCTGGTGCAGCCCCTCGGTGCAGGGGAGTGGGGGTCAGGCCATCAGCCCCCACCGGGCTGCTGGTAGGCTGTTCCACAAAACACTTGGACGGCCCTGGGGTGATCAATCAGAGGTGGTGGTGGTGGCACCGCGGTCCCCGTCCCCTCCCCTGCACTGCAGGGACGGTGCGGAGCTGATAACTGCAGCGCTTCGCTCTCCTCCCCAGACCATCCACGCTGAGCTCTCCAAGCTGGTGAAGAAGCACGCGGACCAGAAGAACGTGGAGACAGAGATGTACAGGAAGATGCTCGGGAATCCCAGCGCCGCCAGCGCCCCGGGGAAGTGCAAAGACAAGCTGCCCTGGGTAAGGGCTGATGCTGACCTAGCAGGGTGGGGGTGGCAGAGCGGGTGGGGGTCACCCCTGGGGTGGGGACCACTGGGCTGGGCACAGGGCTTGGGTTAGTGTCCCCCCAGTCCCTGGGGGTTGACACTGTCCTGTGTCAGGGCAGCAAGCCCCCCGGGAGCTGGGGGCCTGTGCTCCGGCGGCCTTGCCAGGAACGCGCCGAGAGCTGCGGCTGCGCTCCTGGCTCTGTCTGCCAGGGCCCAGCGATGCCAGCTGGAGGGTCCGGACTTTGCTCCCAGCTGCCACGCACAGGAGGCTGCTGGCTGCACTGGTGGAAAGCGCTGTCAGCTGGGCTGCCGGCGGGCCCCCCCGTCCCCCCTGA